TGGTGCCTATAATTTCTCCTTGCTTCAACCGATACTCCATACAATTGCCCAGGGAATCTTTTCAGCTCTGATAAACTCACTTCCCTGCTAAACAATCTTTAGGGTCTCAAGATTGAGTATGAATTTAATATAAAACTTCCCGGAATGGTGTTTGAGGATTTTTAAAGTCTAGTTCCAGTCTCCCTTTTCACCATCTTTGGAAGATTATAAAGCTAATTGTTAGTCAGTAAGCTAGAAGTCTATCATCTATATCCAGCAGGAACAATGTACAGTTTCATGTTCTAATTTTCTTCACATAATTCCACTAGATAGTCCTAAGAGGCAAGGCTAGTATTATTCTATTTTTATAGATGGGAAAACTGACACCCAGAGAAAGCGGACAATTGGTACTGGACATAAACAGCAAGTGCTGCCTGGTTTTCCCTTGTACACATCGCTTTGTCTCGTTCACATATCTCCACCATTTACTCACGGGCTACCCTTTGCTAGGGACTGGCCTTTGCAACATGGAAGGTATAACACTTGAGTTCACAGACATGAAGGTGCTTAAGCTGAGCCTGTTCAGATGTTTTATTAGGCGCCCTTACAAATCAGGTTTCACATAAGTTTCTGAATTTCTGGCTTCCCATGAAAGGTCTGAAGGCATGGCAAATTGTGCCCACATTCGCACAACATCCACTGGAATGAGTAGAAGCCAACTCTTTTGGCCAGGGGTGAGCTTAAGTCTTTCCGGCTGCTTCTACTTCATGATGCCTTATGCCTGCTCCTCTTGACTCACTAGGTTACCTGCTTGGCCCTAGTGAGCATTTAAGTTTGCAAACCTTGATTTAAAAAAAAAGAGAGAGAGAGAAATATCCATCTATGTTCTAAAGATAAGGTGAAACCTTTTAATTGAGGAAATAATAAGTGATTATTATGTTTGAAGAAAGTCTTGTTGTTCTGTATTAAGACTTCATTTTCCCACGAAAGAGTTGATATTATTTTGACGTTATTATTTATTTTTGACGTTAGAGCAATCTGACCCAGAATTCTTAGTGACAGTCCTTTTGGATGAAAGTCTTTTCAGGACCTTTTAATTAGGAATTGACAGGGTGATTAACTTACAATTCACAAAAATAAACGTGGAAAGGAGAAGTGCAGGTCAATTTCTGACTGTGTTAAACTGTAAGGACAGCACCACTGGCAAGTGATTGTTCCCTTTTAACTGCTTTTCTAATTTTTCTTAATTGGATCCTTTGTTTTCTAATTGGATAGGGAGAACCATCATATGGCTTTCAATTATTAGCTCTGGCATGGTGATCCTGTCATATGGTACATGCTAAGTAGTCAGACTCTCCACATATAGGGCAAAATACATACCATCTCCAAGAAGCTTTCTGTGTGAGTAAGAGAGGGGCACCCCCTCCCCCATGTCCTGAGCGAGTCCACAGAAGTCCATGCTGAAATGGGATGTACTAACCAGCTTGGTTTTCCGGGGAGACTGTTTGTACTTGTGCTTCCATTATCTTAAGGTAATAATTTCTGAAAATATTTGCTCATCATTATATAGAAATGCTCCTAAGAGTACAAACTTGTCATTTCATTCCTAGAAATTATGTATGTGTACACACATGTACATACACACAAACATACAAATGCATACACAAGAAAATGCCAGGGGCCTCAAAGCAATTTGTTTCTTCTGCCCTCTGCTGAAATTAGAGGTTCTTTTTCTAAAAAAAGTTTCACCATGGCTTTCTCATTCTACAGCTTCCATTGGATTTCTTTTGCCTACAGGATTAAATCTAAATATTTTATTATGACCTATATCTGACCCCAACATTTTTCTTCAGTTCCATCCTCCAAAATGGCCAGGCCTGCACTACAACCTCTGTTCATGGAACTGTAACTGTCCCTTGGAGACAGTGGGTCTTCCGCAATTCTGTTCATGTCATTCCTGCTTCTTAGTATGTCTTCTACATTTTCCTTTGTCTGGTTAATCTTATTCATTGGTCAGGATTAGATTGAAAGGTTTACCTTCCCAGCGACACTCACCTGACACCCAAGGCATAATCTGTTACTATTTGTGGGGTGTTTTTTTTTTTTGCAACTGCTGAGCTTGTTAGTATCTCTGTATTAGCTTCTGCTCATTCCTTCATTCAAAAATACTTTTTAATCAATAAAACTGGACAACAAATATTCTTTGAACATCTATATGTGCAAGTGTTGAGCCCTGGGGCTACAAGGTTACCAAGATGGCTGTGGTCCCTGATTGCATTGACATGTAACTAATCCTTATCAGTGCTGACTGGCTTTGGCTGCACATTAGAATCACCTGGGAATCTTTTTAAAATCCTGATTTCTGGGCCTCATCCTCCGGAAATTCTGTTTCTTTGTTACTAATGTTGTGGCCTCACCCCATAACAAAGAAACAGAATTTCCGGAGGATGAGGCCCAGAAATCAGGATTTTAAAAAGATTCTCAGGTGATTCTAACGTGCAGCCAAGGTTGAGAACCACTGGCTTAGATGATCATCTCCCTTAATGGACTGTGAAAGTACAGAGGGTAGGAATATCTGCCTTATTTTATATTTGTTCAGTAGTGCCTAGACTTGCACCTGGCTCAAGCAAGATGAGGAAGAAATACTCATTGGCTTTTCATGTTTTCTGGATGGAGAACAAAAATCAGTTGTATAAAATCTCATACCTTAGTGAGTTAACCAACGACACCTACAATCCTGGCTTTTAAACTTGGAACAGTTAGTTGACATAACCATGGTTGTTGTCTTTGAGACGTTATGGAATCTAATGACCTTTTGGTCTAAGCCTCTTTATGCCTTTAGTGTGCATATGTCAGGCCCTGTGATGGGCACTTTGGCTCTGCACCGTGGAATAGTCTTTTCCCAGAGAGGAAGCACAGCCTCTGATTAAAGGCCCTTAGCAGGCAGGGACAGGGCACAGCTGGGGTTTGAATCCGGCTAAATCCCATCAGATTGAAAATCAAGAAGCTGATGCGTTTGAAGATTATAAATCTGGAAAGCTGTGGAGACGAGGGGCTGGGAGTCCCTGCTCAGAGCAGGTAGTGCCACTTCTCTTTGGCTGTTGGTGCTGCTTCCTCTGGCTGATGCTCCCAGAATGACTTTAAAGATGGACACGTGAAGGGATAAGATTTTAATTCTGGGAACCTCTCCCTTTGGAAAAGAGAAGCAATTAAAGTCTTGGAGAAGACATAATTGAGACTATGGACTGTCACGGAAATGAGGACTTGAAATAGAATGCCAGAAACTCTTGTTCCATGGCTCCTTGTTTTTCTGAAAGGCATAAGTACAACTTCAAATATAAGAAGAGCTTAAAGCTGGCAGGTCTGTTAGCTTCCTGTTACCGATGACTTTAAAATATGTTTTTTATTGATTTTAGAAAGGAAGGAAAGGAGAGGGGTGGGGGAGAGTGAGAGAGAGAGAGAGAGAGAAAGATCAGTGATGAGAGAGAATCATTGATTGTCTGACTCCTATTAGGGATGGAGCCAGAAACCCAGGCATGTGCCCTAACCAGGAATCAAACCATGACCTCCTGGTTCATGGGTTGAGGCTCAACCACTGAGGCACACTGGCCAGGCTGTTACCAGTGACTTTAGATAATGGGGTTCTGCCTCATGTGATTTTCCTTGGCTTTGTGGTATGTGTATATGCCCCGCTTGATAAAACCATGCGTTAGCATTTATTGTGGTTGTTTCTCTGTTCTTGGCCACAAGCTGACTCACTGGTGCCATTGCCAAAATGAAGACATTCAGGAGGGCAGGGGAAGTCTCTCCCTCCGCTGCAGGCAGTTCTGTGGCTGCCGGAGCCGCCTGTACCTCCGGCTGTCCCTTGAGCAGACTGTCTTTGCCGAATACTCCATCCATGCAGGCAGCCTATGCCGCTGAGCTCATTATTGCTGTAAGTGTTTGCTCTTGGATTCGTGCTTCGCGCGTTTTATTTACATGCTTTATTTTTCATTTTATGAACAAATCGATAACTAGACTTATTCTTTATCGCACTGGATTAGTTTTATTTATTCCGTTTGAATTTGATTAAAACGCTGTCAAACATAAGTCTACATTTTTATCCGCAGACGATATTCACAAAGCTGGGTCTGAGATGTGTTCAGCTAGAACATACTTTTCAAAAGAAAACAATGTTTGCTACATTCTAGACAGTTATCCTTTTGTTTATCTATGACAAGGGAAACTAACCATCAAATGGAGAACGCAATCCAAGTCTAGTCAAGGAATTCTTAGGGCATTTGAAAAAATGCCTTCTAAAAAAGTTTTTTTTTCGAGATTGATTTAATGTAATTCACCAATAAAGCATCCTCAGAAGCATAATAAAAATCCTACATAAAATGGCATAGCCAGGGCAAGGGAGGATATACAGTTTGATGAAGCTTCAAAATGGATGCTGACATTAAAAATGAGCAGTCGTGCAATTCCTGTATAATATAAAGACCAAAATTGCAGGGCACTAATTTTGCCTCTAATTTATAAGACAGTGTGTTTATGGGACTGCAAATAGTATATATAAAGAGCATATCCAATGGCAAATGTTTTGAACTGTCATTTGTCTTCAGAAAAAAATTCCATTCAACAAGAATTTATACATTCCACTACATAGCACCAAGGATAATCAGACTATATTTACACATACAAAAATGTTCTTGAGCAATGAATGCAATATGTCTATTTTCATTACGAACCTGATCTCCTTTGTTCTATTTAAAAATTATTAATTTCTGCCTCCCCTCATGTTTTGGTTCTTCTCACATGGAAGTAGGAGTGTGGGAGCATGCACAAGGCAGCCAGGTAAGGAGAAGGGTCGCTCTCAACCTCACTCACTCACTCACTCACTCACTCACTCACTCACATATCCACACGCAAAAAAGCACACACCCAGTGCCTGGGAGCAGCATTAAAATGATTTCTTTGGATATGTGCTATCCTCTCCATAAGAGCACTGAAGGGGTTAATGCAGAACACGTATAGGCAAATATTGTCAACTATTTTATTCAAATGTTTGGAACTTAAACACAAAATCATCATTAAGTTTTCACAAAATGAGGCATCTGTTGCTTGAAAGGAAAAAAAATATTTCAGAAATATGTTTACAGAAATGTAAAAATATTAGGCATCGAGACAGATGTGAACATACTCAGTAGCTTGTCTTGTCTGTCAGTCTTCCTCCGAGCCGAAGATCTTCTTGTACTCGCCCAGCATGAGCTCAGCTATCTGGTTCTGGTAGACCATGTGTATCGCCATGTTCCCCGTCTCATTCTCAGCTCGCAGAAGGGTGGGTCCAAATACAATCCCTAAGCTCTGGGTGGACATGAGGTTCTTGGAGGCTTTGGCCACTATTCTGTGAAGAGAGAGAGAGAAGGAAAGAGAAAAAAAATTCCATTGGAGTTTGAAGTAAAATTGTAGCTACTTTTGAATGATAAAGTTCCGTGTTTTTTTATTTCTGAAAAAATTAAATTTCAGTTTAAAGAAGGAAAGTAAGGGTGCTGACTGGCTTTGGCAAAACAGGGAATGCAACATAAGCAAAATTTTTTCAGTTTGCAGAAAAACTATGTCAACCACAACTATTTTATCTTCTACTCTTTATGCTTTACTGTATGGAAACAGAACTGATGACTTTGGGGGAAGAATTCATTGCCATGTACAACTTTTTATCCCCTTGGTAACTAGCCATTGTGGGTACTCTATGAATATTTGTGAAATAAACATGTGAATAAACTAGACAGCAAAAATTACTGTGGAGATTTACTAGGATTCAGCCTTTGAAGGGCCTATAAGCAGTGGGCCTGCACAGGCGCCAGTCAGAGGAGACAGGAAGCCTTCCTCGATTTCCATCCTTTCACAAACCTAACTCTCTAAGGTACCACTTCTGTGACCTAAAGGCTATGCCTTCTCTCTCCTGAGAAAGATCGAGAAGGACCAAAGCCATCCATTTGTGGCTCCCCACAGCACAAGATCATGGTGAACAAAATGTCCTTGACCTGGTCGATATCAATAATAACCAAGTATTGTTCTAAACAATGCTATTATCTCATTTATTCCTCACAACACTCCCATGAGGTAGCTTGTATTATTAATCCCATTTTACAAATGAGGCCAAGGGTCGTGAAGTGTCTGATGTCACAGGGACCTGAGGTTCAAATCCAGGTAGCCTGGTTCCAGTGCATGTGGAAACTTCATCGCTGTGGTGTGTGCTAATGACGCCTATGATTAATAAATGGGCTGATTTTTCACTTTGCCATCCTCCACATGATTATTAGATAATTCCATTCGAGGGTCTGAAGTTTTATTCTTCATTATAGTATTGTGATGGACAGGTTGGTTACAATAGATTTACTATGGGCAAAATGACCCTTAAGTCTGGACTGAATATTCAAGACATCTTGCCTTCTTTTTATAAATGGAGAGCATTTATACTTGTGAGTACTATTGGCCATGGCTACATATCTGGAAGAGATTGCCATATTTTTATTGTATAGTGAACTATAGTAGACTTCAAGTTTAAAGTTTCCTTTGGAATATAAGAAACTATGCTACGTATAAGTGAGATCATATCATATTTGTCTTTCTCTGACTGGCTTATTTCACTTAGCATAATACTCTCTAGGTCCATCCTTGTTGTTTCAGAGGGAAGGGGAGGGGGAAGATATTAACCAAATAATTTATATGCATATATGCATAACCTATAGACACGGACAATAGTGTGGTAAAGGCCTGGGGATGGAGCTTGAATGGGGAGGAGGGGATCAATGGGGGGAGAAAGAAAGGGACATCTGTAATACTTTCAACTATAAAGATAAATTACAAAAAGAAAATATGCCATATTGCTGCTACATTTACCAAAAGTCATTAGAATGATTTTAACATCCTCCTACCCTGAAGTAGGGGCAAATGGAGTGGGCCTTTGCTTCCCTTTAACACACCTATTCACCTTGATTTAAGAACTCTCTTGAGCTTCTCCCAGACCTCTTTATTATACAAGTTATTAGTAAGATTCACGGTGAAGGAAAACAGGTTTTCTCTTTTGGTTATAAATTAATACCATTTTATGATACCAATTCCTTCAGTGACTCCACCACACTCACACACACACACACACACACACACACACACACACTCACACGCACAAATTGTTAAAGGTAAATATGTAGAGAGATAACATAACTAACCAATCAATTAATTAGGTAAAAGTTGCTTTAACAACATCGCTCTTTGGTAGAAAGGTCAAAGTTGATGAGATTTATATAGCAGAGACAGGGCTAAGAGGTCAAAGGGCATGGAGAAGGTAGAATCAAAAGCAAGAGAGCATTGGTAGTTTGAAGCATCTTGGCTGATATAAAGCATCTTGGCCAACAGGGTAGAAAAACGTTAGGACCCGGAGTCCAGGAGAAAGGGACAACGTAAGGATAGACTGAGGACTAAAAATATATTTTCTACTAAATAATGGCTATAATTTCGTTGGCAGCAGAAACAGGGAGATTTGGGATAGCTGGGAGACAGACTGCTCCAAACTCACAAGGGTGAGGCTAGAAATCAAGGGAGGTCCAAGAGCTCACTGTTGGAGGGGCAGTCGTGGCGGTGAGGAGGTTATGGGGGTAGAAGCTGGGAGAGTCCGTGGCATCTGGAGGAACTTGGGTGAGTGGAGGCGTGAAGAGGTAATTTAGCTCTCTGGAGCATACCAGACAGATGCAGCATGTGGGACCCAAATCACTGGGGGAGAGAGAAGGCTGAAATGGGATTAGACCTTTTTCAATTTCTCTAGAGATATTTATGTTTTTTCCTTCTCAGCAAAGGTCTGGCCAAAGCTAGAGGAGGAAACCAAAATCGAGTTTAACAAGGATGGCCAGCAAGAGGCTAGAGCTGCATGTCATAGCCCCCTTGGGGAAAGGGTTCTCATCTTGGCTGGCAGGTCATGGAAGAGAATCCATGCAGCGGATTTCTGCCAGTGCGTCAGTTTTCTAAGATTTCTGTGGACATATTTACTTTGTGCTTTTATGCACATGTATACATGGAACAATTATTCCATCTCAAACCTGTATCATTTGTGTCAATTTCTCTACACACTTAATCAATTTAAATAAAACCAGCTTTAACTTATGAATACTTTAAAATAACGTTGTTATAAGTAGAGTTTACTAAATAACATATAGTTTGTATTTTTGTTATATTTGCATTACTGAAGGTTAAATTCTTAGGTTGGAATTGTTTCCTAAGTTGGGAAAATCAAGTTACTTGTAATAACTCTTAGAAAAATCAAATGTATTTAGGGAAAAAAAAAAGAAAATGTGCATATGTATTGTGTAAAATATAAGCTGTCTTGCTTATTCACTGTTACAAAATGTGTGTTTGCTTGTGGGTGTATAATATATAAATATCAACTAACTAGTAGTTGGTGTATTGAGAAATTAATCAATCTTTAGGTTAGAAAAGATGCTAATTATAAAGACTAATTTGGGGAGGAAGTTACCAACTATTAAACTATATGATTCATGTAGATAGGCTATATATATTCTCAAAGTAACATTTAAATTAGATTACATCCCTTTTTAATAGACAGTGGAAATAGACATGGGGGATGTCTAGGAAAACATATTAAAGCTACTATTATAAACTTCATTACTCAAATGTGAACTTACCTACTTTCTACTTCAATAGACTCTTAAATAGTTAAGTGGTTGATTTAGGACCGCATAGGAAGTCAACCCCTGTTTAAAAAAATAGGTGGAATACTATCCTACAAAATTATTTAAATCTTAGTTTTGGGTGTATTTTTTTGTGTGCCACAAATCAATGGATATCATAATTCTATTCTCACTGGGCGGATCAGCTTAGAATGCAAGTGCCATTATTTCAAAAGATTTTTACTAGTAAAACATTGTAGAGAAGAAACAGAGGCTATTGAAAGAAATAAAAGCACTGCATGACGAAAAAAATTCAATTTAGTATCTAAGGTGGAAAACTGTCAAATAGAGTAAGTTGTATTTCCAGTTGCTTAAAATAAAGTTGGGTTGTATTATTGGAGGTGGAGGGGGAGTCTGATTTAGAAACCAAATACTAGGGGTCTGGCTTTCATGAAAGTGAGTTTTGCAAAACACCATTTCTGTGATAGATTTCATAAAAATAGCACTCCAGAGTAAAATATGTTTGAAGGAAGCTGTGTGCCATTTTTTTTTTCTTAAAAATTCATACTCCATAATAAAGGCTCTGACAAGTCCTGCAGAAAGTATCTTTGTTTACCTTTGTGTGACTCCTGTGTTCCCTAACTTGCTTGAATGTTGTAGATTCTCCTGAGTGACAAGGAGGAGCCATATTAAAAAAAATATTGCTCTAGTTGCTTGGCTAAGGACCTATTAAATAAGTCTGAAAATGCTCTGGATTTTACCCTTTCCTATGGCACCCTGGCTTCAGAACTATGGAGTAGCTAACTCAAAGAGGTCAGGCTCTGGCACGCTCTGGAGAGTTCCAGCCCTCTGGCAGGGCTTAGCTTTCATTAGGCCTTAGACTCTATGGCAGTGTTGTAAATTTTGATATGCAATTAACCTGATTTCAGCAAAGAAAGGACACTCCGCTACCATGATCCCCCCCCCCAAAAAAAAAATAAATAAAAAATCAAAAATCTAAGAAGCAAAAGAACACATCTGAGGGAGAAAAGTGAGGGCAAAGACATGGCTGAGAGATGCACATACAGTGAAATACAGTGAGTTGATGGATGGGTAAGAAGGTGCAAAAACATTTGGACTTTAGATCAATATTTGGAAATTCTTCTACATGTTTGTTTACTTACCATTAATTTACTCCTAAGAAATCCTTAGAGCAAAGATACCTGATTCTAAACAACGTGAAGAGCTCAACGTTTAGTGCCTGTGAACACTTGACTAATAGGAAAAAGACCCCAAAGAGCAACTCTTGAAAAGGGCTATTTATTAATACTGTTTAGTTTAAAATAGCCTGACAAAAATAATTATGATTTTATGAATTTGTTCATGAAATAGCACTTGATATATATTCATAGTAAAAGGAATTCTTATACTGCTAAGTAAAATTCAAGTTTATAAAATCTTGAAGTGGGTAAGAATTCATTTTTCTGGCAAGAGCTTAAAAGGATGATATACAGTTTACAGCATAAAAAGGAGAGGAAATGCCAGAGCTACTTTTTGCAGAGTCCAAATGGAGGGAGCAATGATCCATCAATTTAAGATTATTTTAGAAACAATCTATAATCCAGTGCTACAGATGTTGGACCCCAGACAAAAAAATCCTCGCAGCCTTATGCTGGGTAAGTTTTTCCAAGAGTGAGCTGAATTGCTAACTCAAAGAAATTTCTTGGTTGCTTAAAATTAC